CAAATGCAACAATTGGTGTTGGAATTGTACGCTCAGTAGGCCAATTGTGTCGACCATAATTGGAGCGAAGCGCGCGAAACATAGAGTATTCTTTCCAGAACGTAATTTTCGTAATAAGGTTGAACGATTTGTATACGCTGTTTAGGCATTTTAGTCTTTCTATGATGAAATACTAAAGAATACTGAACAAAAATATCATGACAGCATGGCACTATTCACGCGTGATCTGTCAAAAAACAGCTATTGAACAAAGTACCTCTACTTGTATTACCTGTTATATTTCCAAAATCTTTGAATGCAATCATTTTGTCTCTTCCTTTGCCATCAATATATCCCATATAATGATTTCCGTCTTTCCAGTTGAATTTATTGAAAGAAAATGGACAGGTTTTCTTATAAATTATGTGAAATTGGTCTACATCTTGGTTTAAGTTTAATATAATAAATTGAGATCCTCTGGTTGACGTTTTCCATTTCAACTCAGTATAGTAAATTTAGATTTTCGGTCGAGTTGAAAAAATATATATAGTATACATGAATGGTCAGCATGATGTTCTCAGCCGATTTAGTAATGTCCGTCTGCCTGAATATGCGCTTTATAAACACCTAGCTGTCATAAAATAATCTATATACAAGAAAGTGTAAATATAGTAAAACTTCTTTTTTTTTCTGACGAGATATATTCAAAAATTTTATTATCGTTTAAGCAATGGTTTCAATCTCCAAAGAAATTCTTAGAATCACTACGGATTACAGCTGCCATTCAAATTAATGCCCTAATTGCCAAGGTTTTTTTCAATCCTCGAAACAGTTGTTAAAGTCAATTTCCGCAATAGCCTTCAAGCGATTCAGGTTTAATGTCTACAATTGACTCAAAACGGTTACCTTAATTTTTGACCTGCTTTGATGTGTTTTTTTTTTCGAGCTCGACTCACCTTTGCCACGATTTTCGGCCAATTGATCGTGTGCTTCCAGGTCGTAACCATAGATCCAAGACTCATCGCCAGAAATAATTTGCTTCATGAAATCCAGGTAGGCGGAAAGCATTATTTCACAGACGTTAGCGCGACGCTGTTTTTCGAAAAAATTGAGGAATGTTGGGACCCAACCACGTTTTCTTACCTTACCGCTTGGATATCAATAACTTAATGTAAAGTTATGGTTTTAAATGTAAGGTTAGACGTTT